GCCAATTTGGATCACAAAAATGTTGCTAGAGAGAGCCAGGCCAAAGCCTTGAAAGCCCATTGACAGTCCCTTTTCAAACTCACGATTTCACTGCAGAAAAGCCCCACTGAGAGACATTTCCCAGCTCGGTAGGCTTAAATCTGCAGGAAAATTGTCAGAAACACATTTCTCACCAATCCCACCTAAATGGAATCACCTTGTTTGTGAGCGCTCTGAGTCAATGCAGCAGTGTTACTATTCCAAAGCAGGGAGGAAACATAATAGAAATTGTTGCTTTTATTTTTGTTTGCTTGTTTTGAGAAAGAAAATGAAACAGAAAAGAAGGAAAACTATGCAGTGAAATAAGAGGCTGTTGGCTCTTTTCATCCTTTTTCCTGCCATAATGCTGTAATATTAGCAATATGGTTCCAGCTGCTGGGATGGAGCTGGGAGAAAGCCATGCTCATTCTGATCAAGGAACTGTAGAGTCAGAGCTGATTCCCAGGCCCGGTGCTCACAAGCACATACACACATCTATGTGCCTCTACTCTGTGTGCCCTACCATTGTTGTAACTCATCTTCCTCAACGTGAAAGAGCATTACAAAGAGGATTCCAATCAGCTGGATTCCATTTCCAGCGCAGGTGGGAAAGGAAGAAATTAACAACATTGTCAATGAATGCTGTTCAGGTTCAACATTGTGAAAATGTGATGGGTTTGTTCATTTTCTGGAACAGGCTATGAATATTGGTGCGTATGTAAATATTTGAATTTGCTGTGATTTCCATAAAAACAACATAGAAAGATTAGCATTGATTTTATGAACCAGTTTAGTTATGAACCAAGCCATAACTGGAGAATAGGATAATTTGAGCTTGTTTGCAGTTCACAACAAACAATTTGCAATCAAAAAGTCTATCAGAATGAAAGCAGAATGCTTGGTTAAAGTCACTGCATCAACATTACGAGCTCTCATTTGTTCATCAGACTGAGGTATGACAGTGTCACCTAGCAACTTTTCAAGGGCATTCAGACTCGATGGTGCTGAACTCCATAGAGAAGACTATAAATAAATTAATTTACAAATTAGTACTTTTTATGAGTGTCAAAAGCATCACATTTGACATTAAGAAATTAACACTGTATAGGAAGAAAGGAAACAAAGAATAATTGTCATACTGGCAGTTATAGGTTGGGAGGATTTAAACTGCGTAACAATGAAATATAGTTAACCCTTAGAAGCAAAGGTGTGCATTTCCAATGTCTTTGCTTTGAAATAGATGCATGCATACATATATGAATTATATGCATACACTGCATGTATTTATGTATATTATTATGCATATTACTTCTAGATAATTCCTATGTTTTTCCAGGTACTTACATGATCAGAGAAGAGAGATTCCTGTGTCACATTTTACCTGTACTTTTTAATGCTTCCTGGCAACATACAGCTGCTTATCCTTCAGTACGTGCTTCACTTCTGATGAGCTCTGCCAGCCCACCTGTACCTGAGCACAGGGCCTCGCAGCCACCTTCTGCTTGTGCTGCCTGGACCTGAGAGCTGTGCGATGCTGAAAGTTAAGGCAGTTACAAAGCCATTAAAACATATCCTTCTAATTGAGACGCTTTACCATGAAGTTTCTATCCAGCTAGAGGAGTCGGATTCTACTTTTCTTTAATTCCTTTTCTGCCAACTTTCAGTGCTGAAATTACATTAATTCTGCAAATGCTGAGCACAGTCCCTGACTCCAGCTGTAGTCAGTTACCAGAGCACATCTCCCTGCAAACCTGGTTCTCCAGTACTGTAATCCAGTAACGGCGTATCAAAACACTGGAGCAAATAATTCTCTGGAAGAGAAAAATATGGATATGGAAGAGCTTGATTAGAATTAACAGGCAGGATAGTCAGCAAAATCAAGGCAGATAAATGGACTTTGGTCAGAATCATGCCAATCATAGAATGGCTTGGGTTGGAAGGGACCCCAAGGATCAAGTTCCAACCCCCCTGCCACAGGCAGGGCCACCTACCTCCAGATCTGGTACTAGACCAGGCTGCCCACGGCTCCATCCAACCTGGTCTTGAACACCTCCTGGAATGGGGCACCCACAGCCTCTCTAGGCAGCCTGTGCCAGCACCTCACTGCTCTCTCAATGAAGAACTCTCCCCCTGACATCTAAAACCTCCCCCCAGCCAGCCAACCAGCCAGTCTCTTAAGCACATACATTAAAACTGGGGAAAAGCAAAATTAATACAAGCTTACTGAGACCTAATAGTTAAAGGGAGAACATTGAGCAGACTGGTAAGCAGGGTCTAAGCCCCACACAGCACAGCTAAAAAGATAATGTCCCTCACAGTGTTTTTCCAGGCTGGATGTGACTTATTAAAAGCTTTCACAGAAAGAAAATTTTTAGTAACGAGACAAAGACCTTCCAGAAAAATTATCAAGCAGGTAACATGTCCATGTATTTGCTAAATGTAAGGGAAGAAGAAGTTGTCAATATCCTAGAAAAAGAGACAAATGGATACGTATAGCATTGCACTGCCTGGTTGTTTGTACTCTTTGGTCTTCACATGTGTGGGAGTGTGGATCAGGCCCTGTGTGGGTGTTGGCACTGCTGGATCTGCTGCCCTTTCAGCTGCATCCCTGCAGGTCCCAGCAAGGCTTCACAAAGATAGGGGAAGAGCAGGTGCTAATGGGATCCGCCTGCAGGCTTGTCTGAACCAGCTAATCCACAACCGAGCCAACAGCACTTTAAACCAAATCTAAGCCTGCAAAAGCAGAATCAGTTTGAGTGCTAAAGAAAAAAATGACTTTAATAGCAGAAAGAGTGGAAAAAAACATTTTACAGAGATTTGGTAATGGCTCTGCCCCCAAACCATTCCTTTCTCCTTTCCTCATTTCCTGTGATCTTTGGGTTTAACCTGCTTTAAAACTCAGCTACCTGGGCTGGATGAGCAGCACCTGTTCTCAGAACCCAGCAGGGAACAGGCAGTGCCTCGCTGCCTCTTCACAGCATCTCCTCTCCTATGAGGGATCTCCTCTCCCCTGCCCTCTGGGGCTGCTGCTAAGATGGAGAGGATAGGCAAATCTGTACGTACAGCTGAATCCCTAAAAGGCAAGGGCCAGATCTTTATGTCTCTTAGATTTAGCCTCTTGATCTCCATGGATACCTTATTCGTATAGCAACAGCCGAGGTGGGTGTCTGCTGACTGGTTTAACTCCAATCAACTTATTTTCTATACACTGATAAAGCACAGATCCCAGTTACACTTTGTATCCTCTGTTTGAGAACAAGAGGTAAAGAAATCCCATTTACTGGGCCAGCAGGGACAGCCAGAAAGCCTGACTGTGACACAGGACAAACCATAGAAAAACAATAAGGTGAGAGCTCCTTCTGCTTCTGGCAGATTTCTCCAGGCTCCAAGAAAACCAGCAGTGCTGTGGGACCTAAGGCTGGAGGTCAGCGTTGGGCACTCAGCTGAGCAGACAGGCAGCAGCCGCCATTCCCTCTGGTGCACACTGCTGTAGGACAGACAGATGTGTTGTGAGACATCACTCCAGGCAGCACAGCCAGTCCTCCCTCAGCAGCCTGACACACAGGTTAGACATTACGGCTTCTTCTCTGGTGCTCAGCTGTTTGTGGTGCTGGGCTCATTCTGCTCTGGGACCAAAGGAAAGGCAGAGAAAGAAAGGACAGCCTGAGGAGCTGTTTGTTCTCAGTGGGAGAACAACATGCCCTGTTCTGGTTGTACAAAGCTGTGTGTGAATGCAGCCGGGAGTGTGAGCCAGGTCTCCGCAGGACTTGCTCAGAACAAGCTGCCCCGAGAGCAGCCTGCAGAGCCCGACAAACAGCCAGTGCCCTTCACACCCAGGCTGCCGTGCGGGGAGTGAGGGTTTGCACACCCCTCGTGCACCCAGTGGGCTGCCTCGCTGTACTTCCCTCCACGGGAGGGCCAGCAGCATCACACTTGTAGTAGATGTTACTTCCAGATTCACTCAAACATAGCAGAGGGCATCATTTACTCTCTAGTGTTACATGAGCACTGCCAAGCAGTGCGCAGAGGTGAGGCCCCATACCCAGCAGTCTGATGGCACCCGGCGCGTCAGCTCCACATGCTGTTGCAGTGGGCAGCATCAGCACACATGGAGGGCTGGGTTTTGGTGCTGCGAATTGAGTTTTTCTTATGCTGGCTCTATAACAAGCATATACAATGGCTGACGGTAATTAAAAACTTTCAAATTCTGGCTTTGCCAAAGCCAGACAGAACACTTTCTGCTCCACAGGCTAGGATGAAACCAAACAAGATCAGAGAGCAATTCATGCTCATAATGATGCTTTCTCTCTCCCCCTTCTGTCCTCATCTCCCTTTCAGACACAAGATATTTTTAATGAGCGAGAAGGAGTAACTCAATTTGTTCTAACGTCACTGAGCGATGCAGATTGCAGTGCAAAGAACTGAACACAAAAGACATGCTGCCTGAAAACAGATTGTAATAAAAGGTAAAGTGATCATTCCCCATAGACAGTGGGGTTTTTGTTATCATCTCCTCATACTCATGGCAGGTGGAAGCATCCTGGGACTGAACAAAGGGCAAGAGAATAAAGTGGATTGCAATAGTCAGAAGCAGAGGGATCCCCTTGGGATTGCCAAGCACATAACATGGGATCCACCAAAAGAAACAGAGAAAAACACAGTTTATTTGATTTATTTTCTGATTAATTAATCACTGAGGGAATCTGACTACATGGAGTTTCATGTGGCTTTCCAGAGTTTTCAGTTCTACCTTCCAGTTGTAATAAAAACCAACTTTTTTTAAAAAAAAAAGTAACCTTCCCTTTTCTTACTTCAGCTCTTGTTCACCGTGACAATAGAATAGGATTTTGAACTTGATACTAAACTGAAGCTGTAACCCAAACGGAGTCTGGTTTTTTAGAGGGACAGTTCCATGTGAGAGCCAAAGGAGGGGGAGAGTTTGATTTGTTGTATTAATACTTTGCGGCCCAAATGCTGATGAGGTGATGAGTCTCAGTTTAATATTTCTCTAGTGATCATGGTTGTCTGTGGGTAGGAAACACAAAGGCAGGGGTGTCCCATACCTTCCTGTGATCTGACGTGCCACTCTGACACCCAGCCTTGCAGTGGGAATGGAGGTATCTGGAAGGCAGAAGAACACCTGACGTTACTTTGTCTGCAATGGTTGTGTGAACAACAGCAACAGAAAATCAGTTCCCATTCTGAATGGATAAAAATTCTTTGTATTAACCAAATCAATGCAAATTATGTAATTTAGATGACTGGTGGCAGTAATGGGCTGCACAAAGATATTCCGACAGCTTAAGTAGAATTGGGAATGCAATCAACTCTCAAAGCTGAAGAAACAGCTCACAGCTGAGGTTAAAAGCACAGATAAAGAGACAAATCCTTGCTGAATATCTCCAGGCTAACAGTAGCCGGGAGGTTAATGGTTCTTTCCAAAAGAGGGATGCAGCTGATGTTTCTTCACTGCTGCTTGCTAACAGCAAGGCCCTACTGGTAGCATCTAGTGGCTCAAATCAATTCACAGTCCCCAATAAACTTGGCTGCAGTGGTAGAACAGGCTACTCCCTTGTACACAGGCTAAATCAATCACCTCAAGATTAAACACACATGATCTGAAGGTTCTTGCCCACAGGCTTATTCACAGTACGTCTGCTAACATGGTGACACTGTGTTATCAGTGCCAGGCTGGAGCTGCAGTCAGGTAAGACAGTGGCAGAGGAGAGCCACCAGCCAAGTGCTCAGGAGAAGGAGCAGCAATTCCCACACTCCTGTTTGAGTCATCCCTGTGCAAAGTCACACTGCCTGATTTAAGCTGCCAATGACAGTGATCAAGGTCTTCCTTTGATTTACCCTATGTACTCCCTCAGGCTATTTATAATCCATACAGAGATATTCCTCTGCTTAATTAGTCTCCTAACAGTGTGAGTCATAGGGGGAATGGGCTGAGCTCATATCATACACTAGGGGACAAGCAGCCTCTTCAGCTCTCGTGTCTCTACCTTCCCTCCCACATACATTGAGGCACAGGACTACGTGTCTCCTGGAAGCAGTGCACCTCTCAGGAGAGTGCAGCCTCCCCTGGGATTTAGCAAAGGATGGATGGACTTGGAGGGGTCTATTAAGGGTTTGGTTGATGGGGACAATAAGTGGAGAAGGAAAGAAAGGCTGAATGGAACACCACTGCAGAAGTAAAATGAGTAAAGTTGGACACTTGTGTGGCAGTGAGCATCCTTTTTGTCCTTGCAAAGAGGACTCCCGCTGTGCTCTGCATTAGGTGGCTGCTGGATGAAAAGCTGTGATAATGTATTATGTTATACCAGAAGTATTACTTCCTGAGTCACTATCCCCACTATGTACTGCAAGGCTGCCTGTGCGACTCAGGGCAATGTCTAGGAGACTCTGCAGTCTCATTTGGCTCAAATCTTGTTGATTCAATAAACACTTACAGGGCATTTTTCCAGTTTCAGTGTCCCAGTGTTGAGTTCAGCTGAAGTTGCATCCTGTAATTAACAGACCATTGTATGTGGTGAGAGGACTCCCCAAAGTCATTCTAGAACAGTTTCCCTGGAGTTTTGGAATGGGATGAGAAAAATACTTTGAAAAAAAGTAATGATACTGAGCTCTTCTACTCCAAATTAAATTAGCATTTTAATGTAAATTAGTACACCAGCTTATAATGTTGGGAAAGTATATTTTACAACATTGCACACACAAATAATAAATTGTGCAACGCAGATGTTACCACTTATTGTAATGTTCAAGTGAAGAAGAAAACATTCTGCCTAGTTTTTAATTAGTTTTACTCCTTGCAGAGACAAAAATAAAAATTTACTTGTCTTTTAAGTAAATACCATCTGCAATATATTTCCATTCTACAATCCAGTGCAAAGCATATCTGCAGCCTGCTATGCTATAGCATTATTTTATCTATGGTGGAAAGGTGGTTGTAGAATTACGGAAACATAGAATGGCTTGGGTTGGAAGGGACCTCGATTAAGGCAAATGGACTGCAATAGTTTTGTTGCAGCATAGCTTGGACATGAGGAATGCCTGTTTTAACCAATGTGTCAGATGTTTGGGGCCATAAATGCCTTTGGCCTAATAGCAAGAGTACCAGTAAGGGTCTGTCTGTAACCCCAGGTCTGTGTGTCATCAGGTGCTTTGAGACAAATGGGCAGAGTGGTACACGGAGGCCCACAGAGGAAGCTAGGCAGTGACTTGCTGAACCAGGCACTCATGAGTTTTATCCTTGTTTGAGTGGTACTGCAGCAGTAAAGACTGCAAGAAGCAAGCCAAAAACATCGAGTGGCTTTCTGAGGCTAGTGTCTCTCAACTTGCAGCACAACTGAGATTTCCTTCCTTTAAAAAAAAAAAAAAAAAGATAAGTACCTCTGGTGACAAAACTCCCAACACTCTCTAATTTATTTTCCCATACCCATTTTGTATTTCCAAAGCACAAAAGATACCAATATAAACACGTAATGCCAGAGGAATCAGGTCATGTTTGTCACTATTTACTGATGTACAATTTGCATATATAAGTTTGCTTCCAGCTGCATGGTTACAACACATAAGATAAGAGGCTTAGCCTCATGTCAGACCATTGTGAGAGCTGTTTGAGCCCTGGGACTAGCAGCTGGCAGATGGGTGTTTCTTCTGGAGAAGCATAGCCAGCTCCCAGGCACTGACAGCACCAGCGCTGCTCCTTACCAGGAGCCTTTAAGCTGTGCCCAAGGAGAAGAGGCACAAAACAAGCTCCTGGGACCTTCTACCTTTCACCATGACAATTTAAGCCTCTCTGAAAATTTTAGTGCAAAAGATGTTACTGCACTACACAGCTTTACAGGCTGTATCTGCATGAGTGCAGCTCCCCTTTGCTCTGCCCCTCCAGTTAATGAGAAGGCACAGATGCCCTCCTGCATGGGTTAGTGTTAGTCATACTCACCAAAAGGAAAACTACAGTATCTACATGTACATCCTCCTCTGCAGAAACAGAAAATAATTACCTATCACTGCTTTTTAAGGGGAATTTTACATCCACTGCCCTCCCCAGACTGATATTAAAACACATCCAGAGCCAAAATGGTAAAGCTGTGCCTGAAGCCACTGTCAGCTGGTGAGGGACTCTGAAGGTCTGACACAGGGGAAGGGATGCGTGGAGGTGTCACGATCTCCTCTCACTGCAACTGTTGTAGTATTGGTCAATTTCTACATCAAATGGAATAAAAATCTGGAAAAGAAAAAGAAGAAAAAAACAGCTTATTTTCATATTTTGCTTTCTTTTCTTTGGGAAGCCATGAGAGAGGAAATAACTGAAGGGCTTGTTATGCTCTCACAGGGAGTAAATAATTTCAGTCTGTTTTAATCAACTGCCTTTGAAATCTTGGGTGCTTACCATGGTTTATCACGTCTCACATGAGAAGAACAACACAAATCTACACAAATCTGCCCTGCTGCCCTCTATGCCCAATGTCCAACACCTCATGCAGCCCCAGAGCAGCAGTTTGTGCCAGCCCACCATCAGATCACAATGCCCCACACATAACATCAGCGTCTCCTGCAGGTGAGTCCTCCTGACATGCCAGACAGCAACCCACACACGAAATAATTAGCTAAAAGACCCTTTCCTTGTCATTGTAAGAAATCTCATAGTATTTCAGGTAGCCTTACTTTTCTCATCTTATTAATTTTGCTCTGGTTAAATGAAAGCTGATAAAATAGACACTGCTGCAGGACCCGGGGAAAATTAGATTATGTAACCTCTTTTTTATTTATTTAGCATGATATCAAAGTTGTTTCTTATCATTCTTCAGGTACATTGTGCTCAGGAATAAATTAAACTGTCTATTCAACAAAGAGGAACTGCTTTTTCTCCTGCTAATTTTCTCTCTCTTTCTCGATTCTCACTCTATTATTAGAGGAAAAAATAACAAGCTTAGCTGGAGCCAGAGGAGCCCTTCCAGCTTTGCGCATTCCCCACCGTGCGGTTACCTCACACAGACCAAGTGGTCCATCTATCGGTCTCCGACCGAAACGACAAGCAACAAAGTCAAAAGTACAATGATGTATTGCTTTACATAATGACTTGCTGATGTTGACAAACGGAGTGACAGCTGTGCCCTTTTTAGGGCAAGAATTGTGCTCAGAGATCAAAGTCATGCAGATCACCCCTCGTGTTTCCATCCCGCTGCCATTCCTCCCTGCCATGGGCTCAGCACTTGGGCTGAGCCACAGAGGGACTGCTGCCTGGTGCCCTTTCTGCTTGCGATGGCCTTGGAGCTCAGGGTGGCGCAGAGGTCACAGTGCTGTCCTTCCTGGGGCTGTGCACCCTGGAGCTTTAGTGCGAGAGAGAAGTCATCCCCCACGAGCCTTGAACAGCTTCAGCACAAAAAGAGAAACCTGAGGAAATCCATCACTGATTGCCAGCAGGGCAGATCTTCAGAAATCCCTTGTGTTCTGGGGGGCGTTCAGGGCAGGGGTAAGTGTGATCTGCCCAAGGTCACCTACCTGTCTGTTGCTGCTAGTAGTAACGACCGCAAAATTAGTGTAAGAGCTACCTCTTCTGGAGTCATTTTATGGCAGCATTTTACTGACAGGCAGCAAGTGACACTCTTTCTAGCATCACTCAAGCAAGCAGGAGCCTGGGTCACGCTGGTTCCTGGCCATGCAAGGACACGTAGTGCCCAGAGTTCTGGCTAGCACCAGAGTGTGTTGAAGCATGTAAATCAGAGAGACAGATGGAAGGTCTGTGCATGTGTGTGGGTTTTTCCTCTCTCTCAGGCTCCCTCCCTGCGCACACCATGAAGGGCAGGATGGCATAAGTAGGTCTATCGCATGACGTCGCATTGCAAATATGGAAGTGTTAAAATAACTCACCAGAACCTGACCCAGCAAAGAGATGAGCAATTCCTGAAAGCCACCAAGGTTCAGCTCCTGTGCTAATACTTTAACTATCTATGTTAATCTCAATTAGGCAGCCAAGTCTGTACTTATTAAAACTGCCAGCTTTCTACTGTATGTGTGTAAGGGCAAGAAAGAAGTCAAGTAGAAGTGTGGGTTACACTGCTGAGGGAAAGAGCTAAGTAAATAGAGGAATAAAAGTCTCATTGCTAGTGAGACATCAGGACTCCTAAGAAAATACAAAAAGAACCTATCATCTGTCATTGCGTGATGTAGTGCTTTTCCAGACAAACAAGGCAAGACTTGCCACAAAGGACTCACTGACTTGCCACCCCCTGAGCATTAAGCTGGAGGAGAGGCAGTGAATAATGGGGAGAGCAAACAGAGGAAGAGCTGCTGCAACACAAGGCAGATGACAAGAAGTTTATACAACAAAACCAAATTGCTAAGGACAGACGTAGTTTCTGTGTGAATCCACGAGTGTATACGTGTGCATCAGCATATCTAGAAATGGCAATAACAGGCAGTGATTTTTTTCCTGTTATTTTCAGTGTGAGTTTCCTGTCCTGCTTGTTCTGCACACCTGCTGGCCTAAAAATGGCAGTTCACCAGTTCAAGATTCACCACTGCCCGTGGTATTTATCATGTTTGTGCTTACACAAAGGCTATAAAATACTTCAGTTCTTCTATTCAAACCAAAAGTAAAATCAATCCTTTCTTTTCTTTTTTTTTTTTTTTTCTCTCCAGAAGACAGCAAAACTGTGAACAAAGGTAGAAAAATAATTGATGCATTCTAAGAAACTGTCAGGTGTGAAAAATGTTGACGGCTCAACAACCCTATTAATGCTACGAGAAGGTGTTAGACAGATTTATGTAGCAGCACCAACACAGCAGAAGATATATATAACAGAAATTAAGACAGCACAAGACTGGGCAACTACTCCTTTTTTTTCCTAAGAGCAATGCTGCTGCACATGATCTGAAACACAGCAGCTTACAGCAGGAAATGGGACAGGTCATCATAGAAGACCCCAACATCAAGTCATGACTATTGACTAAGGCATTCTCAGAGACCTTCAGTCCTGCTGCCTTTAGCACCCTGTCCTGCCTATGGAGTCGTTTAGGTGCCCACACCAAAGGAATTGCTGGTGCTTTGGGATCCCCAAAAGCATCTGGATCCCTACAGCCACGCTCGTTCGTGAATCTTAACATACGTATTCCCTAAAATTTGGCCCTGATAACTTCCCAGTATTTGCAGCCTGAACCTTGGCTTAATGAGTCAAGCACACTTTTCAAAGAATGTCATCACTGACTGCAGTGCCCCAGGAGGACCTGGTTGCAGTGATTACCTCCTTCAGTCTCTCCATCTCCCAACACCGTCCTTTACTTTACACTGTCCAGTGTCCTGCCCTGACCAGACTCAGGAAACGTACTCCTTCATTCCTCCCAGCTGAAGTATCAGCCAATATCTGCCATGTTTGTCTAATAGATGATAAAGCACCATGACAGAAAAGCAAACGTTTCTCTAGTAACCTGAGCATTTTTCTCTTAACCAAAAAAGAGACCAAAAAACCTCTGAAATGCATCAATTTTCCATTAGTACTGGAAATTTTCTGGCATCCTATAATATTGCTCCTGCATTTCACTATTATGCTGGCATTTTAGATGATGTTTAAGATGAAAAATTAGCTTTCAGAAAGTAGGATCTTCCTGATTAGAAAAATTTGTTGAAACTGTAATGGAAAGATCAGAACAACTTCATTAGTCTTCATTAAATAAAATAAATGTTATTCCTATTCCCTGCACATGCAATCATATATTACAACTATTAAAATTGTGAGGACGTTTCTTTTGTCCCAGAATTTAATGGATAAAGCTGCATGAAAAACAACCTACAATCACCAGGATGGCGAGCACTTCATCTTTTTTACGTTCATTAATTTTCTGTAAATAGAACACAGTCACATTGCATTGTTTGCACTAATGGAGAGCTCAGAGGAGTTTACCCTGTTACTAATCATTTATTTGGGTGATAATTTTAAAAAGCTTTTAAATTAAAATGATAAAATGGTTAAGGGGAAAGATACAGCCTTTCAAATGTTTCAAGTATGATAGATTATCCCAGCAAAAAAAGATAGTTCTCATTTAAGAGAAGTGCCAGGGCTTGCTGCATATCTCCAGCAATTGCTCAAGCCCCTACATCGTGTTAGGCATCTTGCCCACATCCATTTTGGCGTATGATCATCACATGCATCTCCTGCTCTTTGTGAGGCTCCTGTGCGTCATTCAGCCGGATCCTGGGGGCACCCTGCTGCTCTGCAGGGAGCTGTAAGTGGAGTGAGGCTGCTGATGTCACTTGCAACCACAGTTGAGCTCTCTGCAGCCTTCAGCCTCATTCAGTCCTGAGGCATTGCTCAGCCTGCTCAATAGGAGATAGCATGAAGCATTCATCTTTACATGCTCAGTCTTCTGTTTGCATGCCATCAAAGAACTCATCTACTGCAAAAAAAAAAACACCTGTGTTTGCAATAGGAGCATTGTAACCAAAGACCTGGAGGAGGGAGGGACCAACTACTTGGCCAGAGAGCAATTCACAGCTCCCAGGCAAACCACCTCCTTTCATAGGCCTCATCTGCACCAGCCAGTCACCATTCTGGGCACATGAATTTGGGGAAAACAAGAAAAACAATGGCAGAGCTGCATGTGAGCAAATAGCTGATGAAAAGCTGAAAGCGCTGCCACGACAGGTCCAGGCTGTACGAGATGCCTTAATTCCAGTGTATCGGAACTTCTGAGTGCTTTGCAAGTATTAATGTTTAATGATGTTTCTGATGTATTTTTCTGTCTGAACTTGTCTTTCTTTTCTAGATCTTACAGTTCTCAAACAGTGATTTGCACTGGTGCTTTCGCTGCATTCTCACTGCTCCGTAGCACATTTACCAGCACACACAGACCTCCACTGCGTACACCGGGGCAGCACCGCAGCCACTGCTGAGCTGGGACACTGCAGCTACAGGTGACACTGAGAAATCATGGCATGTGCTCTGAGGTGTTCAGAGGAGACAAACAGCTCCACAGTGAGCAGCACTGTCGAGTAAAGTGCTGGAACTGACTGTCCATAGCAGCTTAATAATGATAGTCCATAATAAGGCACAAGGTGTGGTCAGCACTTCTGTCCCCTCAGCAGCATTTTAGGCACTCTCTTGCTGATGTATGGCTAAAATATAGTTCACCTATATCACCAAAATACATTTGTTCCCATTGGCAGCCTTTTGTGCGTTGCTTACCAAGTCAAGGCTTGCATCAGGGCTTCTTCTCCCATGGGCTCTTCTCAGCAGTGTGACACCGGTGTCCTGGTGCTGCTTCAACGAGCTGCTCCTCAGCTGAAGGCTAACTGGGATTTAAAAACTGAGGCTGGCAAACGATTTCTGGTAGGAAATTTTCTATAGAGGCAAAGGAGATTAGGAAAGGAAGGAGCAACCAGGGTAGCCCTTTCACGAGCTGTGATGCACTAAGCCCAGGGAGACTCCTATTAAGCGTGGGACCAATTTGGTTGCCCAAGTCCCAAAGCCTACAGAGCAATTCAGAGCAGAGGCCACCCAGAATGCTCTGAACTGCCCCTGGCAGCAGTTTGTTTGCTTCTGACAGTGCAGGGAGAGTAGGAGCCTCAGCATCCAACTGGGACACAGAATTTGTGGGCCAAAGAAAACCGAACACAAGCAATACTCCCATTCTTCCACAGACCGGGTGCTACTTTGTGTACTCATTAGAAACCAAACTACATTATCACATCCTTGCTGCTAAAGTCAAACCAGTTTCCCCCCATTAAGCTGCAGAACTGACCAGCTTAGCCCGGCCATCTTCATCCCGTGACTGCTCAACTTGCTGGGCTGCCAGCACATGGCTGCAGCATTTTGGAGACCAGCAAGCAGAGGAGAGCAGAGCCAAAGCACCACTGCGTTTAACTTAACTCATGTGCCTTAGTCAATATGCTTTACATATTTATTTTTCCAAGCCTTTCCTGGCCATTAACAGGGACACTTTGCTCGTACAAGGCCAGTTGCACCACTCATTTAAATTTATGCCTGCTATCAATCAGCACTCATTATCTCATTGCTATGCTGATATTATTATTACAGCTTAGCCTAGCAATTAATTACTAACTAAAAAAAAACAAAAGCAAAAAACAATTTCAGCAAACTACCCATACAAATCTCATGTAACAAAATATCTTTTGTTCTCCTTTTATTCTTATTAAGACATGCAAGACCACAATAATTTCCCCTGGGTAATATGTTTGCTTCAGCTATGCCTCTCAGGCCTGTATTTCCCTGCTTGCATTTTTGCAAAATTTAACAGCAAACATTTAATAACTTGTTAAGAAACTATAATCCAGACAATAGTGTGTTACTTTGCCATCTCTCAGAGTTGGGAGTAGAGGCAGGCTCCTTCTAATCCGAAGTAACTAACACCAAACAGCACACACTCAGCTGAGGAAAATCCCCCATACTTAACGCTTGCCTTCTGAAGCATGGGCCACTCCAGCATCTGGATGCTGAGCATCCTTCCGTGCATTATGCAGCCTGGAAGGCACTGCCGTAAACGATAAACCTAATGTAATTTTAATATGTGGTAATTATAAAAGCCAGAATTCTGCGAGCAGGGCGGAAACAAGTTGGTCACTATTCCCCATTTTCAGAAATCACCAGGACCTCAAAACATGAGTGGGTCAGTGCTTAGTAACCAAACACAGCACGCATTTTTAAATCCTTTTCATTCTTCAAATCAGCAGATTAAATAATATATTCCCATAGCAAAAGTGTTGAGATTATTTCCTAGCATTAGGAAAGAATTGAATATTATTGGTATCAGCTGTAAAATTGAGTTCATCATAAAGCACTCATGAATGAGTTTTGCTCACAGTATTAAATCCAGGGAATGGCATATGGCATATCAAGTAATTAAGACTCTAAAATGTACATTTAAGGCCTGCTGATAATGACGTTCTTGAGAATGTTGCAATTAATGAGAGAACTGGGCCTTTCATAATCTATTTAAAAGTGGAATATATTATGCACCATGATAAGCACCACAGCAAACAAGCTGTCCAGGCATTTGTTTCCCCTCGGAGCTCAAGAACTCTCTAGGAGGTGAAGGGCCTTCACTGCCACCCATGCCCATGCAATGCCCATGACCAGCCCTGAGCTGCCCCTGTGGCCAGCCTGGGGCTGAGAGGGGCTGTGGAGGGGGTGGGTGTCCTGCACAGATGTCCAAATCCTCTGAATTAAGCAGCAGGATTTTTCCAGAGCCTACCTTCTGCAGCCAGACAGCCACATGGAACAATTATTTGCTTTGTACAGAGAGCATTTGTCATCCTCCTTTGTGTGCTTTTTAAACTTTTGTGCAAATGTCTTCATCCTTGGAGCTCAGCTCTTGTACAGTCCTGCCCTGTTCTTATTCTTTTCACCAACAACTTATAAATTCCTGAAAATAAGGAATTTTAATGGGAGTGCTGATTCAGCCTGAACTTTGCTGTACCAGCACGGAGTGCATTGAAAGGATGAAATAAAAGGACTTTAAAAACTCCAGCTCTGTGTGTCTGATGATTTTCTCTAGGGAATAACCTGGCAAGTTATCTGACAATACCCATCCAGAGAAGCTTTCGGTTTGCCTGTGTGCCGTGCATGCCAATGAAGTCAGGGATAAACAATCCATGCAGCAAAGAGGTGTATTATTTATGCATCGTCACATCCATCTATATAGAAAATTGGCCCTAAATTAAAAAAGCAGTTATCAATATTGCCTACGTGCTGGCTCCTGGGGAGAAGCTTGAGGAAAGAAGTCAAAATATCAGTAATAAGGACTCTTTTCCTCCTGTCGATGCAAACAAACAGCCTGTGCAACTGGAGCAATGTTTATGTTAGCAAATACCCCAAGGTACTTCACAGAAATCAATCTGCAGAGAAAAATTGCATTAGATAATAAAAAATTCAGCAACTCCCAAGCTTGAGCCCAAGCCTTACTACATGTCAGAGGTGAAGGGTGAAGACAGAAATGCGGAGGTCAAGGCTTTTAATTTTTCAGAGCGTAGCTCACAGAACGCTGCTCTCCGAGCCCTGAATTGGCGCCAGTTAAAACTCAGTTCGATCAAATCCAAGGACAGGAGAAACTGCAGGAGAGAAAGCAAGCAGAATTGGCTACAAGCTGCAGGAATACGTGTTCAGAGGAAACTTCTGCAGTGGAGCGAACTGGGAGAGAACCACTCACACAAAAACCAAATGACTTGCAGGTAATTTTCCACCTCTTCTTGCAGTGCTTTTCTCCCATCACAGTGCAGCAGGGTTGGAGCACAGCAGCCCGTGAGGAAACCTCACCCCAGTTCTGTGACCCCGAGAAGCTCTGTGCCTTGAGGTGACAGGGATGGAGGGGACAGAAATATGGTTTCAGCATAAAACCAGGTAGGATAAAACCTTGCTTCAGGCATTGAATAAAGTAAGGTGTTGCCTATGATGATGGTAATTCATATGGCTATTCTGCACCTAGAGTGCCTGGCACTGCTGCAGCAGTGAGACTGCCTTTACCCATGGCATCTCCTCTGCTCACCCCGCTCTGTGCCTACAGGCTGCAGGCACACCATCTTCTTATGAGCAGGACTGGGCTGTGATGCCCAGCACCATGCAAACTTCCATGTAAGACTTCATCTGCTCTCTTTCTTTCCTCTCTGTCTCAAAAATCACAGCAAAGTTAAACCTTCATTGTGCAGAAAGGTTGGGAAATTCATTGAGAAGCTTGAGGGAAGAAGTCAAAGTTGTAAGCGACCCTGAGATCCCTCTGATCCCTCTGAGTTGCTGTGGGGTGTCCATGCTTTGTGCTGCTTGCAGCACCAGATAGAGCTGTCAAAATCCAAAGCTTCTGTCCCCAGAGCCCTAACATCTCTTTAGCAACACTTGTGGCCTATACAGGGTATAAGCTGCAGGTTGCATGTCCCCGGGGTCTGATGTAAAAAAAGCCTTATGCCACTGCATAACTGGGAAAGAGCCAGAAGTGAGCAAAGTGGTATGAAACAGAGATGAAGAGACAAAGTCTTTCCTGAGCGAGAGGTGGCTGTGCTGCTGGAGATGCAGCTCAGGTGAACCATCAAGCTTTTGCTTGCTCATTCACCTCTTCCAATTCTTTTAAGCTCAGGAGGTTTTTCTGTTCACACATGTCCCTGTGAAGCTTTTAATTTACAACAGAAGGAATGATGGTGCTGCTTCTAGTGGTGTCAGACACTGTGAGAGCTCGTGCCCTCTTACCAGGCACCTCTTATTATCAAACAACATCAGAAATCTGATAGTTGGCAGAGAGAGGAGACGAAAAGGGTTGAGGTTAAGGAGAAATGATGGAAACTTTCTTTTCAAATATCAAACTTGTTTTCTGCACCAATTATGAATGAAGATTGCAGTTGGCTTTTGTTCTATTGATTGGAGAAGGGGATGGTGGGTGAAATATAGTGGAAAGGACGTGAGATTTTTACAGAGCTGCTCACATATGATTGATTCATATCACTGAGATTTAGAAGGCTAAAGAAAATCCATACAAAGGATTGCAAGGGTTTTCCAGCTCTCAGAGATCATCAAGGCCATAAATGCATTATTTCTATTTGAAAGGGAAAAAAAAAACATTGTAAGAGCCCTTGGACTCCAGTACTTCTAGTTGAGCCACTCTTCCTGTAGATTTTACATTTCCCCTTGTATTATCAGTCCCTTCTTTGATCAGGTAGCATATCTAGCAAGAGACAAGTTTCCTCTGGGCAATCACTTCCCAGCACACCGGTAGGCTCATACACCATGAATATACCAAGCAAAACCCACACAATAGCACTGCAACTCAGTACAGGTAAAAGCAAGTTTAGCCCTCACAATCTTTGAATCAGCCACAGAAGGGCTGTGCAACAGTTGCTTTGTCTTTCAATAAGCTTTTGCAGACTGCCAAGTTTGAGGACCAATTTGATTTTCTTGTAAATGCACTATTTGGCCAGACTCCCTTCCCTTCCCTTCCCTTCCCTTCCCTTCCCTTCCCTTCCCTTCCCTTCCCTTCCCTTCCCTTCCCTTCCCTTCCCTTCCCTTCCCTTCCCTTCCCTTCCCTTCCCTTTCCCATTCTCATTATTCTCATTCTCATTCCTCTTCTCCTTCTCATTCTTGTTCTCCTTCTCATTCTCCTTCTCCTTCTTCTTCCACTCCCTTCCCTTCCCCTGATTCACAAGCTAGTTACAGAATCCTTTAGCAGTACAAGCTATTTGTCCCTTGCAGTAATCAAACCCAGTTTACGGCATGGTGCAATTTTGTGGAGGGGCAAGATGAGTGCACAGGTCTTGTACCAGCTGTTAGGCTGTCATCTGAAAACTCCATCCTGGGTGATTTGAGAGATGGCATTTGTGTATGCAGGAATCTTTTCTAGTTGGTGACCCCTGAGTTCGCTATGGCAAAGAGGTGTGGGGTGAGGGCTGCCCACAGGAGGCTGCTACTTACATACATCTGTGATGCCGATATCTCAGATGGTTCAGTGCCTCCACGACTGAAGATCTCAAAGCATTTCACAAAAGAGACAACGACTGATGAAAGCATTCAGCACACACTTGAAAAGGAATCACAGCAATCTCCAAAATCTTTCCGAGCATCAGGGAAGGGGAGGCACCTACACAGAACTCTAACACTTATCTGCCATAGCTACCAGCTCTGACTATATAAAGCACTCAGAGATTTACATCAGGAGACTTTAAATATAGAAGTCATTTTGTGTAAACTCTTTTCTTCATTGCAGCTCTGAAAAGGGGAAGGAGGGAAAAGCCCTTCTTTTTTTGGACTTGGCAGGAAAAAAGCAGTTAAGTAAGCAAATACTATAAAATGAAAATCTTAAAGTGATTACAAATATGAAAGGAGCAAATACCAAATTGAAACAGCCGTTTAATCAAGATAAAGCACTGAAATCCAGCAATTGGCCTCCTTCCATGATCCTGTGGAGCTGTGCAAAGGAGGCAGCTTACCGTGCTATAACCGATCTCAGATGCTCTCTGCTGACTGCGATACCCCGATGTCTTCCACTCTTCACAGCTTTTCACATGCAAAATGACTTCCTTTATGGATCACCCTTGATGTAAAGTGGCTTTAATTATTCAAGAACTGAAATAAAGATGAAAAAGTAATTGCATTTTAATTGCTGTAATAATGGCAGGAAGCTGCACTGTGACTTAAATAGTGAGAGACGAGAGATGAAGAGTAAGACTACTTTTGCTAAAATGCTATTTCTTCAAATGCAACTTGTGTGCATTTTGCCCCAGTCTCACCTTATTCCCCCACCCCACAACCAGTCCCACTAGTAAATGCCAGGTTTATCCTTAAGCTCCCTACACAGTTTGTTCTGTTAGACAGCGATACCTACAAATAGGAGCTTTTTACCATAAGCAATTTTAAGCCTGAAGGATTTTCTTGTTATTTACTGATACCAAAGTGCAGCTTATCACCACGAGGTGCCTGCCTACCCTAAGCACCCGCAGGCTGTGCATAGCAGCCCGCTGTCTCTTGGCATGTTGGGGCTGCAGTGAGGATGTTCCATGGCAGGGGCTGGCACCCACAGCTGGGCAGACAGCGAGGCACTGGCCAGGGAGAAACATGCTTGGTTTTCCTTGGCATATGCCATCAGCAATATAGAACCCCCAGGATTTGGAAATGGGAGGGCAATAAAAAGGAACTCCTTTCTCCTCACTGCACGTTCTGTATCCATGCCAGTAGGAACAAACTCTCCAGCAGCAGTGGGAAGCAGCATCACCCTGCAGCCCCAGGCTAGAAAGCATCAGGACCTGAACAAGACTGACACCACCACCACTTTGGGAATTAGTGTGAAACCCATTGATCAATATCCATGCATCCCCTCCAAACATCTGTTATCACACAGACAACTTTTCCTTCTGCACGAGGAAGTTTTCTGCTTTTGTTACCATCTCTGTCACAACAGGAGCTTTAATCCCTCACACCAGCTCCTGCCTCAAACCAGAGAGCTCGCTCTCTCGCACACGATCCCTCCTGTGACTGCACCATTCAGCAACACAAAGCCAGACAGAACAAGCTCAGAAAAGGAAAAGATGCAGCTGGAATATAGAGTGAGGCTATTGACTTGTTGTGCCAGACGCTGGCTGCAGTTAATTCCAGATGTGAGCTGAACAATAACTAAAATCCTATACTTTATCACCTTTTAACATATCTGGAGAGATGTCCAAACAATTGCTTTCAGTGAGTGATTTCAGGCAGTCATTAGCCTCACACAGGGAGAACACAGATAAATACACAGAATAGTCTATTGTAAGCACATGAAATCCATCAAAAGAATTTTTAAGAATCAGTCTGTTACATAGTGGGGAAGCAAACTCCCTTTTGTCTCTCACCCTCCTCTGCCTCTCCCACTATTCCTTTTTCTCTTTCAATGCTTGTGGTTCTCAGTAGGAGCTCAGTGCTGACAGTGGCTATGCAGTATTTCTATCAGCAGCCCAAAGAGAAGCATCAGGGTTATGAAGATGTTACTATTTAGGGGTAGCTTATTTTTGCTGGAAGAATCATTCATTCAAAATGCAAATCATAATATAAGCAAATCCCCCTATTTATTAATTAATTGCTCATTTAAATCAAAGTGAAATACACCACGTATTGGCTGTGCCTCAATAGGTTCCTGTTGTGGGGGTACTGCACTGCTGGAGCTGCACTAAGCACTTCCCTCCAGGAAGAAGAAGAGCACTAAGTCACATCGTGCCCCTCCCAAAGCCCCCATTTGTCCAGGACACTGTCAGCCTGACCAGGGCAGCCAACCTCTTCTGTGCAATGCCAAAATACAACACACTGCACAGGGGGCGCTGTGGGATGAGAGAGAGCTTATTGGAAAAAAAAAAAAAAAAAAAAAAAAAAAAAAAAGCAATAATGAAGTAAATATTACAGACATTCTTCAGTCCCATGTAATGGGAATGCCACCATAGTAAAGTCTGAATTACAACTTGCATTCAAAAGTAGGAAGAAATTACTCTACTGCACATTTCAGTGAATGAAATTCATTTCATGAATTAGCATATGTTGCTGTGAGACAGCCTCCAGTTCCAGAGGAAGCTGAACCTTGTGTGCATGGGTTTAAAAAATCTTTTTTTTTTTTTTTTTTTTTTTGGCAAAGGAAATACTCTCAAGGGTTCCTCCCTTTCTCTTCCCAACACCATCAGGGAATGCTGCCCAAGGGCAGCCCAGATTTCGGCTGGAATACAGGAATGTGGGGCAGCCTCATAACACTTTCTTCCTGAGCAGTTCTCACAGGATCAGTGGGGTTTCAACTTCACTGTTAATGAGACACATCCGAGCTCTGTCTCTTTAGCACCCTC